TTTCATATTAATGTACCTGATTAGTACAACTGAATTTTGTGAGAATAATGAGCAAATGAAAAATGATTATGCCCAACTAAATTTGCATGTGATTGATATGTCTATGCTTTATATAGCAATTTAGAGGTTACATAAACCGAGTTCAGACAATGCCTATCTTTCATTATCATCTTCATTGAGCCATTTGTAAAATTATATCCAAAGTAGGTATTATTTGCTTGGTTCATTGAAGATAATTTGTATTATTTAAAGTTATATGCAGATAATTTACGCATTATAAAAATATTTACTTTGTATATTAGTGAATCTTATATTTTCCTCGATATTTATTTACGGTACCTTTCATTCCTATCTCGTAAATTATCATGTCAAGGTCTTATATTAGATCGAATGTGAATCATCTATATAAATACTTACTAGATGTTTGTCATGGCGTTAATGTGCACATTTTCAAAATCAAAATCATTGGGCATTTTATACATTCGCGCATCACGCGTGTAGAAAACTAGTCTTCGTTATAAGTGCAAGTACACTAACGACTAATGATTACGGATATATTATTGCATTACAAGATTCACCAATTACGAAATATTTGTTCTGAAACAGAAAAAATGTAAAATCCATTAAAGATCCAATAGTTCATAATAAATCGAAAAATAATAAGATTCTAACAGCTAAATAAGCATAATAAAATATGATAACTTGTAAATTAGATTTTAAAAACTTTAATAATAAATCAGAAAAATGCAAGATAAGTGTATAGTAACTTTGGAATACAAATCTCGAAAAGAAAAATGTAAAACATTTAAAATAGTTAAAAAAAAGTGGGAACTTGTAAAAGAAACGTATTATAAAGTTTAATGATTATAAAATATCAAAAGTAATTAATACAATTGTGAGAGTAATTTGTTTAAAATCAGAATATAATTAATAAAAGTGATTCTAAATATTCAAAAATGAATAAAATTTAAAAACATTCAACATTCAAAGAGTTCAAATTATACTTTACCACGAAAAAGAAAATAGAAAATAAAATATTTAAATTTTATAAAATGAGGAAAAAAGTAAACTAAAGACCTTTTAAAAGATAAAAAGCTGGAATGAAATTTAAAATAAGTAAAATGTTAAAACTAAATAAAAATGGAAAAGTTAAATAGCTATGAAATTCAATTATTGTTGTTATAATTTCATTTTTTACATTTTGTTGCATATTGTATCTTGGTGTTTATTGTTGTTGATTACTTTAAAATTTCGTTTTTTTTTATGTTTTAGTTGTTTATATTCATAAATCAAAATTTGTCATTTTTGTGTTTATATAAAAAACTATATAGATTTTTTGGTTTTAAAAAAGTAGAAAAAGATAAATTGAAACCTAAATAAACATAAAAAATCTACTTCAACAATAAACAATAGAGAATTTACCCAAAAATAGGACTAAAAAGGTTTGGAAATTCCAAAATAGGATTGACATGTTTTTATTTCCAAAATAGGACTAATTAATGCCATGATTTGGCAGTACCAGATTTCAAACATGACAGTATTTTCCAAAATTGGCAGTAATTACTCCTATTTTGGGAATAAAAAACATGACAGTCCTATTTTGGAATTTTCAAACTGTTTTAATCATATTTCGGGAACTTTCCCTAAACAATAATAAGCAACACAGTGCAACAAAAAGCAACTTAGTGAAACAAAATGCAACACAATACAACAATAAGCAATACAAGTGATATGATGCAACAAAAAGAAACAAAAAGCAACATATAAAAGTATCACACCAAATATACAATTAAATGTACTGTTCCAATTTACTAAATCTACTAATATTATATTATTTGGTCTTGCTTCTTATCATTCCTTCTTTCGTATGTCGCCCTTACAAACATAAGTGTCGGTGTGCTTCATCAATTCTCTTCCAATCTGGAATGTGATTCAAATACTATCGTTTTTCCTTTTCAACGCTATTTGATGACACTTCCTCCCTGCAAAATACCAATCTTTCATGTGAAGAATAACCCAATCATAACAAACTAGTCAAGAACCATCTCCCACACCGCATAAACTCACTTTAAACACTGAAGCAATCCCAATAGTTTAAAATAGTAAAGCTATAGATAATAGATTTAACATAGCAAGCACCAAGAATGACACACACACATATTTAACATTCATCAGAACTAGCAAATTAAAGCTTATTTTTTGAACTACAACAAGATGTGTAATACCGACTCCCATGCATTCTCTATAAAGTCTCCCTTAAGAATCTTGACAGTAAATTCCTTTTCATTTTTGTGATGTTATTAGAAGAGTGAAGATGATGAAACGTGATCAATCATGAAGTGTCTCAACCCCTAAGTACCTGCAAGTTCATACGTTCATATCAAATATAAAAATCATTTTATCTGAGAAGAGAAGTGAAAATACAGTACATAGACATACCGTAAGGGGACATATGGAGATGACATTTCAAAAAAAGGCATCAGGCATATGGGAGCATATGGCTTTAACTTTAAATAAATGTAAAGTTTAGTTCTGCATGAATATGAAAACCAAATGTACCATATATAGTGTGAAACACACATATGGATGATCCACCGTAAAGTCACAAAAACACAAGTTCACAAAAAAAATTCATGCAATTCAGAATAAAGAGAAATTCTGGAAGGACAAATTCTGTAAGAAGGAGATTAGATGCAATCCATATTCCAAATATTCATCATTCAGTTAACTAAAGATTTCAATTCATTCACACACCCAATTCGCAAAAGAGAACACATCTTTCTAGCTAGTATAAAGATTTCAACTCATTCACACAATGATAGGTCTCCAGAGCTTTTTCATTTTCTTTCATGAAGAATTGAATATCACCCTTTCTAGTGTAACCCTTTGCAAATGTAGGATAAAACTCACATTTTTTAGCGTTGTTGAGCTCCTCGGGCAATGGCCTAAGTTTGGTGTGGCTAGCAGCCCTATTGCTATATGCCTAAAAAGAGTGAAAGAGAGCAAGAACACCATGTAAGAAATTTTGCTCCCTCCTTTAAGATTTGTACAACAATGATGTCAATCTTAAGTTTTTGAACTCTACTAGTCTTCCCATCTCTTAAAGTGTTGTTTAAATGGTCTGCACACATTCATAGATTTAACAAATAAATAGTTGTTGTTTTTTTTTCAAAAATCAAGTGAAAGTAGTACAATGTAAGTAGAGTGATTTATGGGTGCAGAGGTGTAATGATAGAAATGATCAGTCTTTCTGGATAAAAACCACACTCTTGTGAAAATAACTCTGGAGACCTATCTATGTTACACTCCTGTGAAAATAATTCTGGAGACCTATCAGTGTTACACCAAACTTCAAGAGTTTTCTCAAGCTCTCTTTTCATGTTCATACAATAAACTAAAGTGTCCACTCCTCTTCGAAGATGTATCTTTAGGTATCTTTAGGTGAACACACAATGTAATTCATTCTGATAGCACATCAATAAGTCCAATGTCAATTCAATATGTCTTCTCCACAAATGTATCTATGCATACTAATACACATCATTTTACTATATAGAAAACACAAGAGCCAGAAAGTTAATATCGATTTGAGTTGGAAAGGATCAACTAAAGTTCAAAGTAAATTGTAACAAAAATTAAGCAGAAAGTAAAATAAAGCTTAATAAGAAACCAGAAATAAAAGTTAATTGTATGAATTATAACCAAAATAAAAGTGATAGTAAAATGTTGAAAATCTCACACACATACCTGCTATGTTGCACGGAAACGTGAAAATAAATGGGAAACGGGAAACGTCAATTTTTGCTCAAAAAAAGCTTATTTGGAGAGTTTCCAAAGAGTTTCAGAAACAGGAAATGTACTCTTTCCCGAGAGTTTCCTTACTACATAGCATACCTATAAATTAGTGAGGTAGTCAAACAGCGACCTAGAAAGCAGTGGAGCAGTCAAGCAGCAGAGGTCGGAGGCCGGAGAGCGGAGGTGCAGATGACAAAGGCATGGAACCGCGAAAGCCGGAACCGCGAAGGACGGACAGAGACGCGAATGCATTGAGCCGCGAAGGCCGGAGGCACGAAGGCGCTGAGCAGCGGAGGTCGGATGTCGGAGGCACGAAGGCGCTGAACCGTCAAGGCTGGAGCCCGCAGCGTCGTGAAGATGGAGGAAGAGCTGAGGCAGAGCCAACAATCGACGTGATTACTCTCGCTCTGGCTTTGGTTTTGAATTGCGATTGAGATCGTTTTTTAAATAAAGAAGTTAAAAGTGAAAAAGGGAAAGTTATAAATGAAAAATAAATGATTAGGAGTTATGTTGTAAAAACCGGACCGGAGAGTGACCCGGCCACATGACTGGGTCACGGGTCAACCCGGACCCGGTGGGTCAACCCGGTCAACGCCGGAAAACCGGTCAATGATTATACGTCTATATAATAATAGTAAACATATAATTATATATAAAATTATAATAAAAATTAGTTATTATTCATAATAATCAACTAACAATACTAAATATTAAGCATTTAATACACTCTTATAATATTTCAATGCATATTTTGATCTTATAAAAATATATAATGATATTTTTATTTTTATTGTATATCTATATTATAATTTGGCATGATGTTCATTATTAAATAAATATATAAATATATTACGTAGTTTTTCTTTTTAAGGTATTGAAATTGTAATTTTATTGGTATAAAAAATGCATTAAAAATAAAAAAGAAATTACTTTTTTTTTTGTAAAACACCCAAAAACTGGGTTTTACCGGGTTTTTCGGGTTTCTTGGGTCCGGATCTTGACCGGGTTTTCCCGGGTCAGCCGAGTTTTTCCGGTTTTTGACCATTTCCGAGTTTTGAAAAAACCGAACCGATTTTTTGTCCGGGTCACCGGGTTCCGGGTCAAACCGACCGGGTCGGGTCGGTTTTTTAAACATAGATTAGGAGCTATAAATGAAAGGTAGATTCAGTACCCATTTTTCGGAGTTGTCAACTAAATCAAATACACACAAAGTAGACTCTACGGATATTTCCACTAAAAAACCGAACCCGAGGATCCATGATGAATTGATGAGCTCCGGAGGGGCTTGGTTCATTTACAACTACGGAGCTCTTCTTCGCCTTCCAGTCTTCTTTCATTTTAATTCTTCAACACTTTCTGAATAAGAAAGGCGGCCTTGTCGCACTACGAAATCAGGAACGTCCAATGGAGGAGAAGAGCAAAGGAAGCGAGAGATGGATGGCAGCGATAGCGAATTTGTCGGAGATGTCGTCAAATCTTGACTCCCTCCAGAGTTTGATTGTGAAGAAAGCTGTTTATGTCGACGAAGCCACCTACTCGAAAGCCCATCTCGCCTCCGAGCAAGCCCGGACTATCAAGGTACCGATTAGGTATCTGGATTCGGATCTTATTTCTTCATTTCAGCGGCTGTATGTTTAAATTCTTTATTGGACTGTGTTTTGGATTTGATCGATTATTTAGATTGGGATTTAGATTTATGACGCAATGAGTTTGGAATATGTTAGAGAAGCAGAACAAATTAGGGAAGTCAAGCAGAAATCCAACTATCATGGTTTTTGGAAATCTAAGCCTTGTTTGTTTCAAGTGAACTTGATAAACTAGAGAACCTGTATGAATATAGGTTATAGAAACTATTAGGTTGACCTTGGTGAGTCTAATAGAAAAGTGTTGGGAGGGAGCTTCCTTCATGTGAAAACTAAATTATTACTCTTATATGGTGTGCCAATCTCCGAAGGCCCCCAATTTGGAAGTTCTTCAAATTTGTGTTTTGGAGATTCTAATAGTTTCTTCAAAAGTCTGAATTGAACCAAAACCCCCAAAACATAGTTCGTATCATCACATCACAAATCAAACAAGTGAATCTAGAATTTAAATTGAATGAAGCTAGATTCACTGCAAACCAAACAGGGCTTAATTAACATAAAAACGCAGGATGATAGACTTTTTATCATAACCCTTAATTGCCTTCCTATTTAGTTTATACGGAGTAATTTTTAGTGAACTGTAAACGGACCCTAAGTAATGTATCAATTTTTTAGTGGTACTTTCTCTATCCCAATGTAAGGTTATCAGTTCGATTTATGATAGCTGGGTACCAATAAAGTTAAATCTTCCTTTGTAATACCTAAATTGGTGTCAATAATCAAAATTACATATGAACAAACAACAGTTCTATTGAACCCTAAAATCTGAACTCGAAATTTGAAATAAGAAAAAAGTTACTATAAAATCAGATATGTATCGAATGAGAGTTAGGTTGATCACAGGATTCACAGGACTAGTGTCTTGGAACATTAAATTGGGACATGAGTAGCAACTACCAAGACTGTGATCCTTGTGACCTTGCCTATTGTATACTTGAGTAACTTATGCTTATATATACATGCATCATGCATGCGCGCACACACACGTATATATATAATGATTAGATCAATGATCAATCCACAATGGAGGTACTAATGTGAGAATACTTAGTTGAAGTTTCTAGATTCTGCAGTACTAACTATTTAAATCAACATTACTTGGTAAATGGATCGTTTGAAGGAGTGTCACTTGTTGTATATCCATAGGTTCTTGAACAGAGAGTAGAGACTTTAGAGCGTGAACTTGATTCTGCAATATCAACTGCTGCACATGCACGGACGGAGAAACGGCAAGCTGAGGTGGCTCAGAAGGCTGCAGAATTACGGGCACAAGAGATCACAAAAGAGCTCGAGAACACCACAAGTACACAATTCTTACCCTTTTCACTACAGCAAGTTAATACATACACATGCTAGAGAACTCTATGCAAAATAATCTTAGATCTTAGGTGTTGTTTCTTAGCTCTTCACCCAACACATTTCGGTTTTATCACTTTTATTTTGGTTTCATGACTTTCATCTTTATGGATGCCTTTTTGTTTGACTGGAGAATTTTGCTTGCCTAGCTAGAGTGAAACTATATATGTGTTTGGGATCAGGTTAGGTACTTAGGTCAGGTCAAATGGTAGTTTTTCTATGCATAGTAAATTTTTCACTACAAGTGCAGAATGCAAATAAAGCTTGAGATACTTGCGATTTCATAACATTTAATTGTTTATTTGTGACTACTATATCCTAACTTTTGCATGTCCTACTCAAGCAAAGATATAAATATTAAATTCACTAGATCTCTTCATGTAGGTCTCTAATTTCTCTCAGTATACCACCTCTTTTTGACTCCTATAGTCCAGTGATATCAATAGTGTTGCTATAGCGCGCTATAGCTGAATAGCGGTGCGGCAGACTAGGAAGGCGCTACGCGGAGGGCTCTAGCGTGGCGTTTGGGTGTGGCGGCCATAGCGCCTGCGATCGCAGTGGTGCAGAGAATGTTATGGCGGCCGCTATAGCAGCACGTTTTCTGGTAAAGAGGGTACTGCGCATTCTGGGAGGGATTTTAGCGTTAAATGTTTTTAGCGCAGACATAAAAAGGATAAACTAGACTTTTAAAACAAAATCTTAAACCACTTAAAACCCTTAAACCTCTGTGATGACTAAAAGCTCAAAACTAAGCCAGCTTTTGAAAATACTCAGTTGAACCTATCTTTGCTGCTTTGCGATGGCTTCTTCTTAGGGCTGGCAATATCACCCGCACCCGCGGATACCCGGTCAACCCGAACCGAAAATATGGATGAAAACCCGAAGAACTATGGATGAAAAATGGACGACGGGTGGATCGAAAGACGGGGTGGATCGGGTGTGGATGAAGGCTCATCCAACCCATCACCCGACCCGTCACCCATTCCATCCACCCACCCGCTGACCCGCATATAAATATATAATATATAATATATATTATATCTATTTAATAATATATAATAATAATAGTTAATTGGTGAAACAAAGATAATTGGAGAGCTTCAAGAAGTGGCAGTTAAATAGCAAAAATAGTTTTGTGCCGATGCATAAATGCAGAATTTAACAACTTGAAGAAGTTTATGTCTATTTTGTTTAACATTCAGTTTTTTTCTTTATCATTGGTAGTGAATTAATGATTGTAATATACTTAATTGCTCATGTTTTTGTTGTTATTTAACAATGAATTCTTAATTTTTGGTTCGTAATTGTCATGATTTCTCTTTGTAATTTATTTATTTTGTCTCAAGTTTGAACATTTATATTTCACCCGATCCACCCGATAATCCGTTCAAGATGGATGGGTTGGATGTGGATGTAATTTTTAATGGATGATGGACGGGTGGGTGGAGTATAAAAAATTAGCGGGTGGACGTGGATGAGCCTCCACCCGGTGAAAATCTGACCCGCTGCCACCCCTACTTCTTCTCCAAGAACGACACATGCTGCCATCCTCTGCCTTCAATAGTATCTTCTTCTCCAACCTTTGCTGCATAGCTGCAGTATTCTTTTCTTCTTCTTCTCGTATGGAACTAAAGAGTATTTCTATGTAATTTAGGTGGGTGAACCATCTAGTTTCAGTAGTCTATTTGCAGACCTTTGATGTACCTTAAAGGTAATAGATGTACCTTACAGTAGTTAAAACATATGCTTCCAGTAAGGCAAAGAGTATTTTTTTTTCATATGTATGTATTACATATGCTTCCAGTAGTTACTTATCTATTATATTTGAATGTAGTCTAAATAGCGGTCATCCCGCTATCCACTATACCGCTATAGCGTTTTTGGGGCTCGCCGCTACGCTCCGCTATCCGGGATTGACAACACTGCTATAGTCCTATAAAGTTGTTATTTCTGGTTATGAAGTTAATATACTCTCCATGATATTTCAATTTCGTTCTTACAACATGCGAGTAATTAACAAGCTTCCCTCTATCGTTATCCTAATAAATGCTAAGTAGTTTAAGTAGCTACTCGGTGGCAATTTGGTCAAGGGCCGAGTAGCATGTAGGACCAACTACTCTGTCTTGTATTAATTAAATTTAAAATCATAAATGCCCCAAAGTTCTAGTAATATGTTAGTCTTATAATTCTAAAATATGAATAAACTAATAATAGAAATCCTAATAATGAAGTTGCACAGAATCCCAACAATTATAGACATTTTAATCCCAAGGAAATCAATCATCTAATAATACTTAATTTTAAACTTTTATCTGGAAGTAATTTTCATTGGGTCAGAGGTCATCATTTTCTTCTTCATCCTTTATGTCCCCAAATCTCAGTGTAAGCCCGAAAAATTGGCAGCCTTGTCACCGAGTAGAGAAAACCGCCGAGTACGAGTATTTGTCAAGTTACTTCGAAAAATGTAACACTGCAAGTCAGAGTATTAATCGGCAAGGTCCTATCATGAATAGTGAGCACTTGGTGACCTAATAACATAGGATAAGTGTCATTTTATATTAAGCCAATGATCACAAAGCAACTGCATTTCATGCGGTGACTTATTGACACGTGACTTGGATATGGCTTCCTTCCCATTCCCTTTTTCAAAGCTTATGACAGTTATCACATGGATTTTGGATGCAAGGATAATAATTGGTTTGATTGGATTCCTATCCCCCGTGATTGCATATAAACAGCCTTTGTTCATCGTAGTTATTTTAATTATTCCTTGGACTTGCAGAAGTGTTTAAGCTGCACATGGAAGAGTTACGCGCAAAGCAAGAGGAGATAGCAAAACGTGATAGTGAAATTAAACTCCTTGAGGCTATAATTCAGACGCTCGGGGGGAAAAGTTGACTGTCTACCCATAATTAAACTAATGTAACTTCTCATCTTTTCATGATGTTTATTGCAAAGATTCGTAATAATCCTATTTTTCCCTCCTTTTTGGGGGTGATATGTTTGGCTCATTTGCAATTGGTCAATCGTCATGTTCTTCTTTGTGACAACTTTTGTACATAATATTTACAAAAATGTTATGTGGATCTATAATCCATTATTATGTGGATCTATAATTTTTTTCTGAACTTGTGCCTGAGAATTGGTCAAATCTACTTATCTATGAAAAATATATATTTAAAAATTGTTTAATTACTAAGATACAGAATCATCTTATGTAAAAAAGCAAAAAAAAAAAAAAAAAAGTCCTCTCTAGCCAATTCGCCCTGAAAAGTAACTCCAATTATACCTATTTTCATCACCAAACCATTTAGAATGTGAAGTAAAAAAAAATTAGGGCATGTTTACTTATTTCTCCAGTTTTCTAGTTTTTTCCCATTTTTTGTTCTCTATGTTGGAGTCATTAACACGCTTGACACACTGTAGCACTACCGTATTTCCTTTTTGGAAAACACAGAAAAGTGACTTTTCCCATTTAAGAAGAAAATCAGAGACATGTCTCGTTTTTTTTGGAGAATAAACAAGTAAACACGTTTTCTAGTTTTCTAGTTTTTCTTCCTTCAGTATTTCAGTTTTCTAGAAAAATGAAAAGTATTCTGGTTAGTAAATGGACCTAACTGATCTATAGGAGTGTAGGATTATACCTTACTTTGTCAAAGGTCACTGGTAGGCAGGTAGAGTTAAATGACACTCATGGTGATGAAAAGCATTTTAATGGTCATTATTTTAATTTGTTATATTTCTTTTCCTTTTGGTTCCGATATCATGTATTGATTCATTTCGGCCGACCCCAAAATCTTTCGGGACTAAGCTTGGATGTTGTTGTTGTTGTTGTAATAGATGAGGTGCATGTCGTTACTAGTGGTCTGTTGTTTTGCAATGTGGACGCATTGGTGTGGTGCATGTCCTTCCTAAAGGTGTGAGCCTGCGATGCAACTGAAAATAGATGAGGAGAAACAAGTTAACTGAAGCATATGAGTATCGAGTAAGGTACATTGCTTCTACACAAAATCACAAATTAACTGAAGCAGCTGGCTACGTATTAAAGAAATCGGCAGCAGTGGTAATATAGGCTGATGGATTGAAACCAGGAGGCTATTCAGACTCAAACATTCGCAGCAATGACTTGAGGCTGTTTCCACCTTTGTTCACATTGGAGCCGACATTGGTTTTTGTACAACTGAATGAACTGCTATTCATGTTAAAATCTGCAACGTATTATATGTTATTTATAGTTTTTATTATTACTCCTTTTGTCTCTCAAAAACTTCCAGTTTGACTTAGTACACTAATTAAAAAAACAGTGAAATTGCATGGTTTTCGTCTTGTGGATGATGTAAAAAGAAAAAAAAAAAAAAGAGGAGCAATGTTAACCGGCTTTAATGCAACAAACCCGCTCCTGAAATTAAAATTTGATGCATTAACCTCAAAACTCCCCTGTTATAGTTATTTATGTGCAAAACTCCCTCTATGAACAAATTTAATTGGCAAATAAAAAAAGTGGTTAGTATTTGTACGGAGTACAATTTAGAAATCTTGACAAAATTTCTCGCATATTCACACACACACGCGCGCCCCACGCCATGCACTCCATGAGAACCACCTAAAATTGCGGCACCAAACGGTGATCTCCTCTGGAATTTTGGAGGTGAATATATATCTCTCTCACACACACACATGCGCGCGCCCACTCACCTACGCACGCATGCACGCGCACAGACACACAGATACACACACACAGATACACACACACAGAGAGACCACCATTTGGTGCCGCGATTTTAGGTGGTTCTCGATTGAGTTTTTTTGATAAAATATTTTGAACAAGTTCTTCATTAAGTGTAGATTATGTTCACAAAATTTCAAATTAAGGAGGTGTATTCAATTGAGACATTTTCAGACATTTTGGGATTCTCAGAATCTGGGTGTATTCAATTGAAACATTTTAAGCCATTTGGAGAGTCTAGAAAAGTCTACATATGTTTAAAACACCAAGACAATTTGGGATTCTTTTTGGGACTAGGATTTGGCAGGACTTCACAACAAAAATACACTGACAAATCCTATTATCAAATCTCACCTATTTACGTGAGATTTGGGGAGACTGGTCACGGAAAGCCAAGAATTGCTCTTCAACCATTTTTTCTAGCACGAGAAACCTCCGTGTCAGCCTATTTTGTTCCCAGCCAAAAGAGACCGGAGCGATCATCGTTTGTCCAAGCTTTTCTCCCCGTCATGTTTCCTGTAAGGCCAAATATTTTGAATTTATCGAATCATATGGAAAGCTTGACCTCTTTATCTCATCTGCCTATATCCCATTGAAATGGGTCAAACAGTAGGAAGTGCTCTCACACAAGGTGAGTGGAGAGCTGATGGAGTTAAGTAGAACCGATGCACTGTGCTACTCACAGGAAGGAGCCACTGAACTTTGTCTAGAAGAGTCTTGAACTTTGTCTACAATAGTGGGTACAAATATATTTTTCCTTTAAAATTTAAAATGTCTTGAAATGTCTCACAAAATTTTGGATTATTTAGAAAAGTCTTTTAGAATCCTATATGAATACAAATCTCCAATTGTTTCAAAATATCCCAATTGAATAAACCCCCTAAATTCGATCGGGAAATCAGTTAAATAAATTATTGAAAATTACTGTGTTTATATAAATATATATTTTGGCGAAGTTATTTCCATAATTTCTTTAACTGATTTCACGATTGAGTTTTAAACTGAAATTTTGTGGACATAATCTACACTTCATGTAGAACATGCTCAAAACAATTCACAACTACTAGGAATCACCTCAAATTGCAGTGACCGGATGGTGGTTTCTGTCAGAAAGTCTTAAACAGGAGATTACTCGTTTCAATTCATTAAGTATATACTCCCTTTGTTCCGCAATTTTAGTCAAACATTATTAACTTTGATTGTAAATTGTTGAAGACATTACAAACATCACAATTTTGTTGGAATGTTAATTATATATTAAAGATTTTATAATAAGCTTATAAGGTAAAATATTAGTGGTAGTTTGAATTTGTGTACTCTGAAAGTGAAACTGTGAATTTAATTAAGGAGCGGTGAGTATATTACTAGCACTAATAAAAGTTAAACTAACTAATTTTGTGTGAGCTGATAGTACCAAATTCATTTATTCTCAAAGGTACGTACATATATACGGAGTAGTTAATTGCAAAAAATGTAATTTAAAGTTATTGAAGAACATGTCATGCTCAAGCTAATAACATGTTTTTGTGAGTTCTCATGTTGATTGTTGAATACTACTCCCTCCGTCCCATTTTACTTAGCCAAACTTGACTTTTCAAGTCAATGACGTCTAAATTTTACCGATTATATGTTTATATAGAGAAAATGTGATAATATGAAAATAATATGAAAATACTCTTTGTTAAAAATACTATAATAAAAGTATAAAATTAATAAATTTTGCATAAATATATTAGTTAAAATAATTTATCAAAGCTTACCATCTTTGACCGGAAAAATCAAAGATGGCTAAGGGAGTGTTTGCAATTGCTTCAACTTTAAAAAAGTGATTTTTTAAAGTGATTTTGGGAAAAGTGATTAATAGTAAAAGTTGGTAGTGTTTGAGAAAAAGTGATTCTGAAAAAGTAAAAGTTGGCAGTGTTTGGTAAAATAAGTACTTTTTGTGTAATAGAAAAAGTGAAAAGCAGTTTAAAGCACCCTTCCACCTAGGCATGGCCTCGGTTCGGGCCGCCCGGCCCGGTTATCCGGGTCCGGGTCCGGTTCGGGCCGGAGGCCCGGGGGTGGGGCGGTTCCGGGCTCGGTTCATGGTTTTGACGGCCCGGCCCGGCCGGTTCGGGCCCGGGTCTAGGCCAAATCTATTTTTTTTTTAATTTTTTTCATTTGTTTTGGACTGTTGGGCTTGGGCTATCTGTTTAGGCCGGTTTGGGGGGGTTTGGGGGGGTGGGGGGGTGGGGGAAGAAAGGAAAAAAAAAAATTAAACCGGGTGGCCCGACCGGCCCGGCCCGGTCCGGTCCGGAACCGGTGGCCACCGGTTCGGGCTCGGGCCCAACAAAACAGACCCGAGGCCCGGCCGGGCCTAGGCCCGAACCGGCCCGGGTCCATCCATACTTCCACCTGCTACTAGCTTTTAGCTTCTAAGTGATTAATTTAAGCAGAGTTGTCATTTGAAAACACTCTTTTTCGCTTTTTTTAAGCCAAAAGCTGAAAAGTACTTTTTTTAAGCAAACCCAAACACTGCTTAAGTAAATTGGGACGGAGGGAGTAGTATATAATAGTAAGGCTAACCGCAACCCAAGGCTGTCAATAAATCTAATTCCCCTCCAGTTTATACGTATTCACTCTATCAATTTAGTTTTTCCCTGCAACCCAACATCGTCAATATATCCACTCAGCACATTTTTTTAATTAAATGCATAGATCCTTAGTTATTTTATTACACATCATTTATGTGCTAATTTTATTTTGATCAATAATTATTGTTTAAAAACTCAAACATTCTGATGTAAAAAAGTTAAAAAATTTAATTAATTTTTTTAGTAAGTATTAAAAATGCAAACTTGAATTTAATTTGAAATAAATTTAAAACTAGTAAATGTTTTGTAATTATTTGGAATTACAAATATTGGAATTATTTGGAATTGTTTAAAACTACAAATTTAAAACTACCAATTTATTTGGAATTATTTCCATTCTCCGAAGCTGCAGCCAAGTTGAGAGTACTCCCAAGTCCCAAGTTAATTATTCAGAGTAGGTTTTTACTCCCACCAGCCGCCCAAAAGCATGTGGAAGTTCATGCACAAATCTAGACCTTACCTTTCCTCCTGCAGAATTCAGCCGACTTGCTGGGATGATGGCCCACTGCGGAGTCAATGCACCGCCTAGAAACCCCTCCCCTCAGTTTCCCCTATTGTCAATGAGACCTCTCTATACAAAAAAAATGTCTGGGTTGTAGTAGTTTTTGGGGTGAAAACCTCACATTTGGGGTTTTCACCCCCTCGGTTAGTCGGTTGCAATCAGTCTAAGAGACGGTAAAGATTCTAAATATGAGATCTGAGAAAATATAATAACCAAAACCAGAGACGCGTTACTTCTCAAAAGATGGATATGGGGCTTTCTTAAAGGGTGTTTGCAAAGCAAAAATTTTATGGAGCCCTATATGACTCCACTATGGAGTCATATAGCACATGTGGCATTATCACAACCATTCATTTCTATTAGGGGTGGACTGAACCGGGCCGGTTTGGGCCTCGGGCCTGGGCCCGGCCGGGCCTCGGTTCTGAATATTGAGGCCCGAGCCCGAACCGGGGGTGGCCGGTTCCGGGCCAGACCGGGCCGGTTCCGGGCCGGGCCAACTGCCCTATTAATTTTTTTTGGCTTCTTTATTTAATCTCCTACCCTCTTTCTCAACCCCAAACCACCCCAAACCACCTCAAATGGACCAAAATACCTAATCTAACCCAAAACATAAAAAAATTTCAAAAAAAAATAAAAAAAATTATTTCTGGCCCGGACCGGGCCCGAACCGGCCGGGCCGGTTCACCATATGGAAGGCCCGGGCCCAGAACCGGGAACCGCCGGACCGGTTCGACCCGAACCGCCGGTGGACCGGGCCACCGGGCCGGGCCGGTTGCTACAGTGGCCGGGCCGGGCCGGTTCCGGGTCGGGCCGCCCGGCCCGAGTCCTGGCCTAATTTCTATAGTGGATTTATAGTGGAGGACCCTACTTCATGAGTGAATGATTGTGATGGTGCCACATATGCTATATGACTCCATAGTGGAGTCATATAGGGCTCCATAAAATTTCCCATTTGCAAAGGCTTCTTAAAGTACTCAGTTTTTATATGAAAAAATAGAAACAGTTTTCAAAGAGGTGCCTATGTTTAAAACTTTAGTGTTAAAAGTTGGGCACTGCAGCCCTCAAAGATGGGATTCTTCATTGGTTAGAGCACGCCAGTGAGTTTTAAGGGTTAATACAATTATACACGTAAATAACCTCAGATGCTTGATGGACTGAACAAAAACAATACTGTTGCAGGATCAAACACATTTCATGGGCTATGAATCCTATGATACAGATGTCGTACCCACCCTTCTCTACTTGCGTTTCTTCATACGATTAAGAGATGAGGGAAGAAGTGATGGCCTCTTTTTGGTAAACGCCTTAGTTTTGCTTTCAAGTTCCTCTTCTTCATCCTCTTCATCTTCTTCAACCCTTGCATCATTGGCCTTTGCGTCAAATTTTCTTTCTTTAGCATTCAACGTAGCACGCAATTTTCTTTCAATGGGATCGTTTGCACAAACATATTTGGACTCACGGGGAACTGTAGCCCCAATTCCAAGCCTGAGAGAGAGAGAGAGGTTGTGATTAGGGGGTTCGAACAAAGTTAACGCATTCGAACAGATGCTAACCTAGGAGGTCGGCTCTCTAGAATAGCTCCATTTGATTGATCATCCTCCAATGATTTGGACATATTATTAACCCATTGTTCAGCCTGCAGCGTACGAACATTTTGACCATGCAAGCTATAGTTCATTATGGGGTAAACAGGATATCAAAGAAATCGCAAAACAAGGAAATGTTGGTTTACATAAGTGGATCTACTGGTCAACATCTAAAGCGTCAAAGCAAGAGTTTTATAATCAAAAGAGATGGAGGCATAAACATAGTCAATATCACTAGAAAAGCATGGAATCTGAAGAGTGAAGACTTAAAATACTCAGATAGATGCAAAATACGGAGTAACACTGTAAAATCACTTTGAATAACATTTGGCATGACCAGAATGCCAATCGACAGCTTGAAACCCAAATAATGCAATAAAATGATAACACCATAATGCCCAAGGGGTAAAATCGATTTAATAACATTTGGGGCACAGAATGGAATGGCCTTACCAATTTGAATCCTCTTTCAAGTTTCACCAATTGAACTGTTGAAGTTTTCTTTGATGCACCTTCAGTAGTCATTGATACTTTTGTCATATCTAATCAACAAGGCAACCACAGATGAATTGTTGTCCATATATACAACATTATCGCCAAACCTCACACATCCAAGAAAATAATAGGGCAAATAAAGTGAAAAACAGCTATATTAGCACCCACACTACCAATGACAAAGGGTTTAGGATTCAGCTCATTAATCTAACCTACTTTCATCTTCAGTAGTAATCGGTACTCGGTGGCTACCTGCTCAAGGGCCGAGTAGCAAGTAGGACCAATTATTCAATGATTACTTATTTACTTGGTCCTATAAGACTAAAAATTTTAAAAATGTGCAATAAAATTCTTGTAACATCATTCCAACAAGTATTATTCGTGTGTGTATTATATAAAGAAAAAACTAATAATCCATAGCAAGTTAGCAACTAGCATAAATCATAAACATTTAAAGAAGATACATAACACAACCAGTCATAACTATTATGTTACGTCCTTAATTTATCCACATAAGAATTCCCACGGTAATTTATTAAACTACTATACTAAATCACAAATTCCTAGTAAGATGTCAAAGAAGAAAAGATGACGATCTAATAATTTCAAAACATAGATTTTGTAATGTTCTTTTTCATTTAATACATTAAAGTGCCCTAATTTTTTCCGAAACCCGGGCTTTAGTAATTTCATCAATCTTTCAAAATTTGGGGGTAAACGCATTGTAGTACAGGTTTACATATTTTTGTGTGTATTAAAATTTAAAACTACTAAAGTACTAATTCATATACAAACAGACATTTTGATCACAGGCGGATCCAACATTTTTATCCAGTGGGGAGCAAATAATTTGGATCAAGTGAGAACACGGTTTTAGGAGAAAAATGAGAATGAATCTGGTATGTTGGATTTGAGAATTGTACATTATGTGAAACAGAAATATGCACTACAATGAATCCGAAAATGCAGTGACATTTTTGTAAATAAATTGAACTTTTCTTGCCATTGTGAATGATGCATTATCCTCCTCCTCACTATAAATGTGCACTGCCATGCATCAAAATGTGCAACGTTTTAAGTCGTTCTCATTTCTCAAAGGAAGAACGGTTCTCAGTGAAACCTAATATGTACTACATATAATAACCTCATCAAAGTAAAATACAAAAACAAATATCTAATGTTCTATATGAATGAGAGTTTTCATCATAGTCAAATACAAAAAAAAAACAATCACAAATTCACAATTGTTCTTTACGATTTTTCATACACTCATATCTCTTGATAATGGTATCATTGTAAATTTTCAGGAAGGTACCTTTTTCTACATAAACAAGAAGCCTATCATTGAAGTCTATGAGCGAGAAGAATCAATGCTGAAGACAAAATCCTGTACACTACGGTCAATGGAAAACACTGAAAACCAACCGCTAAAAATCACTACTAAAACAGGGTGAAAGCCAAAACTAAAAATTACTCCGTGCAAGTGAAAGGGTACAATTAAAACAAAACAGTAAAACAGGGGCGTTGAATTGAAGTCTAAGATCTAAAAAGTGTAAAGAGTTGCAGTTGTCAATACAAATTATATAACCTGTTCTTCAATGGGATCATGTAAGTCACCTATAGTGAGTGATGGTGATGATGAGAGAAGACCAGGAGCAGATCTAGCTGCAAAAAAACTCAAAATGTAATACGTAGTACAATAATGTGTATTTAACAAAATTTATACAGGTATAAAATACGGAGTAACATCTATTAGAACAAATAAATCAAAGACAAAAAAAATATTATCGGAATATGAGTTTTCGTCAAAGTCAAATGAAAAAAACACAACAATGGGATTACTAACTACATACTCGTAATTAGATTAATAATTATTTAGATTAATAATACTATTAATTTAATACTAACTAACTAAATAATTAGATTAATAATAAAAAACATAATCAAATTTATACTAATATAAATTATGCTCACAAGTGACATATTAGAACTTACAAATCACAAATCACATTTATAATAAATTTTAAAACCTAACATCTGGAAAAGTGAAAGTAAAAAAAACAGTAATTAAAGGCTTAAAGGGGTTAAAAGTCTTGCCTTCAAAAAATACTACTACTAAGGCTTAAAGGAGTAATTTATAGCTAGATATATGAGTAGTACATAAACAGCTCAACCATTAATCTAGAATTATGGAAACCATTAACAAACTTAATAAGGCTGCAATTTAGTGTGAACAGCTAAACAAACTTAGCAAACCCTCCTTGAAAATCATTAATCTGAAATTCTAGAAATAAGGCTGTCATTTAATCTACTAAACAGCTAAACTGAATATACGTAGTAAAAAAATACAATAAAACTAAACAATAAAAAAACTTACCGGCAAAGAGCAGAAATGGCCGCAGAGCGGCAGAGCAGTCGAGACTCGAGAGTGATAAGCCGCTGCTCGGCTAGGGACTAAAAGGTGCTTTTGCTCCGCCGCCGTGAGACGACCGTCCGAGGGCAGACCAGAAATCAGTCACCGGCGTGACTTGCGTGAGTGAGAGTTGGGAATTTTGCAGCGATATGCTCATATGCCGCTCTGCGCCTTACGATTCGTTGCACTGGAGTTGGGATTTCAGAATTTGGGCCATGTATTTTTGGACTTGGCGGCTTGGGAGATTGGATTTCTGGACGTGATTAGGGACTACGGCCATATGGGAGCGGAAGAGTTAAACGGCTGCTTATTTTATACTCTCCAATTAAGTTCTACAGTGCTTTTCACACTTATTATTAAGGGAAAAAAATTATTGTAGGTGAACTTTACTCTTTTGACACTGTTTGGCACTGTTTGATACTATTTTGATGTCGTTAATTTTCCAAATAAGAAAAGAGAAACTTAATTCAGGGACTACTCAAAAAGGAAATGGGGAACTTAATTGGGGGACAGAGGGAGTATTTAAAAGTTTGTTACACATTCCATTTTAGATAAGTTTATTCTTTAAAAAATATTATTTCCGTCACATAATTTGATATTCATTTTCCTTTTTGGATCGATCCATATTAAAGCTCATGTTTCTATTTTATAAAAGTTTTTTATTTGTGTATGTTTCCCAATTTGCCCTTCACTTTTAACATTATCTACCCACTTAATCCTCTACCCACTTTTAACAATTTGCCCCATACCTAGTTAATCCTGTACGCACATTATCTCTCTCTTCACGCCTTATCTTCTTCCCTCCTCTCAAAACATCTTCTCTATCATTTCCATGTTAGTTGTTGCATCCCCTTCTTTCTCCTCATCGGCGTCCTCTTTGTTCGTTATTGTCTTTTCCTCACCGGTGTCCTCTCTGTTCGTTGTATCCGCTTTCCTTTATTCGGTCCTAGTCTCTAGTAGTGGACAATATGGCTGGTGGATCCACTAAAACTCCCTCCTTAGATGGTGGATCTGAACCGCCAACTCCTCACCCGGTTGATCCGTCTGCTACCACTATAGATCTGAAACCATGTCCAGAATCAGATCTAAAACTTCCATTTAGAATGTTCATCATTCATTTTGGACCGGAGAGTTCATCTGACACAGATCCGGAATGGTGACTGCATAAGAAATACAGTGACAACCTGGTTTTTGATATGTATGATGGGTTGGAGGGCTTGGACGAGGATTCCAACGAAGAAGTGAGCTCAACACAGTGGACGAGGAAAAAGATGACGGGACTGGAAGCGATGCGGAAGGGACAAATGAAGGTCTCCGAAAGAGGCAAAGGCTAAGCTTTGCACATGCTGATCTGAACAACATGCATTCATGACAGTAAACATATGTTCTCTTTATCTCTTCATTTCTGATTTTGTGGGAATTGCCTTCATGAGTGAAGTCTGTTGGCCAATATTTGTAACTCGTGATGAATTTGGATTTGTTTTGTGTAATTAATGATGTTCCTCTGTGATTGTTGTTAGCCAATGAACTGTGAATGATGGGTAACCATTACCTTTATGCATCCCACAATTTGAATGTGCAGGATATATTTCTATAATGGTTATAGTGGGGGGCCAGAATGTGTGCAAGATGTGTGTAAAACTTAAACTTTTGTCTGAAGTTGATTGCATTGCCAATTGTGCTAAATTTAAAGTGTACACAAATAATTTGGGGGTACTTCAAAAAACAGTACTCTCATGGGTGTAGAAGTACAAACAAAAAGTACACCACCTAGTTAATCTACATCCAATGTACTAACAAAAAAAATGATGTGTTTGTTGTCATTGATCCTTCAAAGTGCTTAATTTGATGTTTATGACTAGGTTGTTCTATATGGATCAGGCTCTGTGGGAAAAAAAAGTGGTGGTCTCTTTTGACAAGTAGAACCACTTTTCATTTATGTTAGTGTAGTCATAAAAATCATGAAATGTTGGGGGAAAGTTGACTGTTTCAGGCTTTATATGGCTTAAACAGAAATCTAACCTCTTCATTTTCCCAGCTTCTGTTAATAATGGCTTGATTGCATTTGAGTGCCATATTATCTGCTTGCTTTTATACCATCTTTGCACAGTTGACTTTGAAACCTTATTGCAAATGTCAATGATCTCATATATTTTCTCTGGAGTAAAGGAATTTCAGCAATTTTTTGCATATCAAAAGTTACTCTTTTGGCCCTACATTTCCTTTCCACCTACTTTACACATTGATAGCCTCTCCACTCTGCATTTGCTCCTTTGCTTTTTGCCACAGTTTTTGGACTGTCTGGGTGAAAATGTTAAAAACATTGGCTAACTTAATTATAATGTCTGTCTGAAGTTTTCCCTCACAAGTATGGCCCAAAAGATTTTCAATGATTCGACTTCTGCCTTGTGGTGACAACTTAGGCCAGCTTTTATTCAAGAGTTGATTGCTTTGTTCTTCATTGTCTGTATGTACTATGTGTGTGTGGTTGTGCATGTATAGTGACTATTAGAACTGGCACCAGCATGGTGTCTTCTTCTAGCAGGGGCATGGTGTCTTCATCTGGCAGGGGCTCCACATTCATGTTCAAAAGACCACACGGATGCTGAGAAGAGGATGTCCCTTCACTGTCCATTTCTGAAAGAAGACTTTATAAGTAGAAGATTTTTGTAAAAGTAGAAGTAGTTGGGTGTATTCAATGTGGTGTCTTATAGTAGTAGGAGTTTGTAAATGTAATGTGCAAAAGGTGGGGAAAGGATTCGAATATGTGAGGGGGGGGTCTGAAACTTTACATTTGTGGCTGTAAATGAACTAAATGTACTTTTTGGTCTTTGTGGCTTTGAATAAAACTGGCATACATCATCTCTCTCCTCACCGCATATGTAGGGGGCTAAACAAGATATATTCAGGGGTATTTGTGGAAAGTCAAAACCAAATAATTTTCCATCTTAAAACCCGTGAAGTCAAACCAAAAACTTAATTAAGAAATGGAGGGAGTATTCAATTATCCTTATTTTAGTACTTCTTATTTTCTCTTTCCTACTTTTCCACCTTCTAGACTAGTTTATCTACACAATCCATTATCATACTATTTTCCTTATAAATATTGTGCTAAAGCCTAATGTAGTGATCTTTTAAATACGGGGTGAAATAGAAAACACAAGTCAAAGGGTATAAAAGCCTGATATTTATTACTACAAACAACACTTGAATACTTACAGGTTAAACCCGATCGATGACACCCCCCATGAGAATAAATAGAGAATAGCCAGCTAGATCTGAATTTGCAGAAACCCATAGAGATGAGGAATTTAGGGAATTTAGAATGTCACACTTGTAGGGCATGCTTAAGGTTATATAAGAATATCCATAACTCACAAACATGAGGTGGGCTTGAGAATCAATATATCAAAGAAATTGAATCATATACACTTCCTCAAATATTCCATTTTCCTGAGAGAGCAATTGTGAGAATGATACAAACAGGTTTTGTCACTAAGTTGAATGTTTTAGAGTAGCCCCTCGAGTTGCTTTAAATAACCATGAGCAGTTAGTCGTCTGACACTCCACTCCACATGCATGTCATCTAACACAAAATAGGTGGCTGAATCGGACGTGGGGCAAGATCCCACTTATGATTCCATTTAACAACACCAAATCCAACATCCATTAGGGACTTCCATTTAGGGTTATTGAAAGCTTGTTTTACATTGGTTGGTTCAATGCTAGGTGAGATAGGATATTATATGGAAAGGTCAGTCCAATTTGTGTTGAAAAGAAAAAATAGGTAATATAAATCGAACATGTTGAAAGATATAGACACGGCTAGTGAGGAGGTTGAAATAGACGTGGGAAGACTGAGACGTGGAATTCACAAATAATACACACATTTCGGACTGCGACATCGCTATAATAGAGTTAAAGGGATGTAGTTGATCGGCTAAAACTTGCAAGTGTACAAGTGACAATGTAGTAATAAAATCCGGTAAAAATACCAAGTCGAACACAAGGAAATGTTATTTATATGATTCAAAGTCGGAAAGAGTTTTGGAAATGAATTTAGAAAAATAGTAGGGATTTTAGTTTTCAAATGATAATAAAAGCAATCAAGGGTTCAAGATTACTTCTAAATGACTCCTAGCAGCGAATATATGTTCTTTCACCAATTCTTATGAGTGTAATGTCTCTACAATATTCTAACTCCTATTACGACAGCGAGATTGTGATTAACTATGTGTGTAAATCTCGTCATGGTTTACATTCATCTAAAGATAATCCTATTGAAGACTAGGACATTGTAAAAACCACAATATTCAATTGGGTATATATATATATATATATATATATATATATATATCCACAACATGAATATGTCTTAACCTTTAAGTGCACGGTTTATAATCCAATGTTCATTGCTCAAATAAATCCAACGATATAGTCATATGTTGTACACCATACTCATGCACATTAAAATATTTAGGAAAGATCATAATAATAAGTTGGTTGAGAACATACATCAAACACTTAAAGTGTGTAAAGTTTCATCTCTAACATTGGCTATGGAAAATTAGATAAAACAATTCATAATGAAATTATAAGCATTGAAATGCTTAAATTGAATGAAATACATAAGAAAAATAGTACAACTCCAAAGCTATTGTGGACAATGGTTCCCCAATGGAAAACTTCTCCCAAGACCAAGGGGATGCTCTTGACATGGATATGTAGATGTAGGGTGTACAAAAAATGATGATTCTTGATGAGACATCATAACTCTTATATAGGAGTTCTTCAACTGTCATCATTGAACAAGAAAGCAAGCTCCTTAACGAGTTTTGGTGTTTTCTCCCGAATGATTGTGAAGACCATTACATGTTTTAATCAGAAATATGGCAAAAAACAGACGGCTTTCTCTTTTAAAATTATGTCTTATGGTCCGAAACTCATGCTGGTTCCACATAAATTCGGGTGGTTTTCATAAATTAAATCAACAATAAACTACGACACTGGATGTCAGGCGGTATCTACAGACGTCGGACGGATTTTCGTCTTTTTTTATTTCGGACACCTTCCTTGTGTCTTGAACGGCTTCTGGATGCTTGGCAGGCAAAAGTTGGGCGGCTTTTGTAAAAGTCAAACGAATTTCATGTCGTTGACTTTGATTGTTCTTTGAGATGAGTTTGCTTGACCTTTTCTTGTCAGAAGTCTTCGTGTGTGTTATATCATTCTTGTATTTGGTCCAATCTCTCCTAGAAGTACCTTTTAGGAGGTTGTCATTATTTTTTTAAGTAGAAAAAGCGTTTAAATATCATTGTA